ATGTATTTGATTGTGTTTATCTGCAGTTAGTTACACGAATTCAGATATGGGATGAAATCGGATAGGGATGAACGAGTTTAAGAGTTTTAAGAGTTTTAGCCAAATGCTTTATAATATAGTATATATATATATATATATATATAATAATCAATTTAAAATTCTTTTAGTCAATCTATTATATTTTTTAAATTTAATTTTACTATCTTGTTTGTATTTGTTAACATATTATATCATTAGAGATTTGTTTTAATTATATTTTGAAATATTGTAATTGATTAATTTTTCAAAATGCTCTTTTTGATTATTTTACATTCTTATCAGCTAGTTTTGTCAAACATGATTTGTTTATCATCTAACTTATCAACTACCAGTTAGCTTATTAGTCATCAACTAGTTTGTCAGCTACCAGCTAGCTTATCAGCTAGTTTGCCAAACAAAACCTTAATATGTAAGGGATAAAATTGGCACTTCCTAACTAATACGTTTATGTTGTCGTGTTTGATAAAATTGCAACAAATATATATGGAAGATTAAGAGGTAATTGTAACACCCTACTTTTATATTAGCAAATCTATCGAAATTTCGGTATGACTTATTCATAAACTCTCCATTTACCTGTTTTATGACCTGTAAATCATATATACATATTTACTAAACAAATCCCAAAACCAAAAGCATGCATTAACACCGCGTACATTAACTACTACTTACAAACATACACCAAATGTTCTGATATTAATCTATCGAATACTATTTAAACTAAATCTTCGTGTGGTCTCAAGCGATACAGTAGTCAAAAACACTTTATCAACCAATAGTATTACCTATCAACAGTTACACCGTCAATAGTACCATTTGATCTTGATCAAATGAGAACTGATTAGTTTGTGGTAACTGATTAGTTTGTGGTAACTGTGAGTTCCAATATCAACCACAAATTAACGGATAAATTAATAAATTAATAATTATGGTAGCTTGAGTTAAAATTATAATTAGAGGGCATTTTAGGGATTTCTTAAAAACTCCTCTCTCCATTGTATACGGTTTTAATTTAGCAGTTATATTAGAGTATTTATGGAGAAATTGTTTCTGATTACGAAACATCTCTCATGGTAAAATGAGGATATTACAAGTTAGTATCAGAGTCGGGAATCAGACTAGTGTGCTAGCGAGGACGTTGTAAGATCCCACATTGGTTGGGGATGAGAACAAAAGTTGTCTTATAAGGGACCTGATACCTCCTCTATTAGACGCGTTTTAAAACCAAGAATCATAATCTGTAGACAAAACGAACAATATCTAGTACGGTTAGTCTGAGATGTTACACAAGTTATCACACTTTCATTACCAAAAAGAACATCTATCGTATGTCGGTAAGAAATAACTAATTACGCTTCAACCAATCTTGTTAACTTGGTTCATCAGAAACCATTACATTTATGCATACTTTAGTTTCTCTTTTAGCCAATACATATAATGTTGATTAGATAAAACTGATATGTGATTGTGTACCCATTAAATGATGGAGATTTTTTATCACAACGTACAAGTTTTGATTCAGAATCCAATACCGAGGCATTACCTGATATGAATTATGAAATAAGTGTAAAAAGAAAAGGATATGTTACGCTCGACTTTATATTGTCTAATAATATCATTAAGTTTACAAGTTCAAATCTCATTACCTCCTACATGTTTAACGAGTGAAGCAATCGTCGACCTTCAACCACAAGATAATAACCTTCAAAAAATAGTAGCTTACAAAAAATTCGTACAAATAATACATATCCAAAACATTTACTGTAATGTTGGTATATACCCAGATTAATAAAATTTTCACCACTAAAATAAACCAATAGTTGTTGAAAATTCAATACCCTCATATCAGATCAGTCTACTCCTGCAACATACATGTGCTACAACAGCTCGTCTACTATAAATTGAAAATTGACAAGTAACGTATAAATTGCCTTAATAAGAAAAAAAATTAGAACGATCTATTAAAATAATATTTTTCATTTTTTTTTTAAATTATATCTTTTTCCCAGTGATCCCCCACCAAAAAGTCTAATTACATTTGCTTGCTATTTAAAAAGAAATATATAAATATAATATATTAATTATATAAATAGATTTTGAAATTGTTTCATACATTACATACCATTAACGTTCTAAATGTGTAAAATGTGGTTAGGTTTCCAAGGGATAAGAAATTGGCATGTTTATATTTAGAGCCACTAAAAAATCACCTGCAAATTAGGAGCAGTAAATATATGCTACAATTTGGAGGTGGGGACATTTACTCTTACAACATCAGTGGAATATTGTTAAAAAATTGTTATATAATATAACTAATATAACATTTTATTTTAAAATATCCTAAATTTACACGTTGTTATAATGTGCGAAACTCCATGATTACTGTTTAAACGAACTCTTGAAGGAGAAACAATGTTTCAACGTCTTTTTTATTAATTGATTATTATAAATTAAATATTTTAAACGTATTTTAAAAAATCATTTATATATAAATCTTACGAAATCTCATGAAATACCAGCAAATTAGAGAGGATTTTTAAATCCCATGTTTGTGGGGTTTAAATTCAAACAATCATTTAAACAAAAATAGGATTAAATTCTAAATTCCTACAAATGGTATCCACTTGTCACGTCTATAGTAACAACCACTGTTTAATGCATGACTTTTAATTATGAGTGAAAATAATTGGACATATCTGTATTTGGCATTTAGTACCTGACATACGTATATAATGCTAGATTTTGGAAGGCACTCACTCGAGTCACGGGACCACTTGCATTATATCGCATTTTTCTCTTGTAATAGATCTCTTGTTTATCAAATACTTACCTCGGTAAATATTTATTGGTAAATATTTATTGGTAAAATTTAACACTATTATTTACTTATCGGGTAAGATTTTAGTTCACAAAACGACATTGTATGCAACAATTAATCCGGTAAGCGCTTACTATGGTAAGAGTCGTCGCTCTCACTTATCGGGTAAAACTCTTGATCTTTGTCTTACTTTTACCGGGTAAGATATTTGGTTTTTACCATATTCATCCGGTGAGGTAATGTAACTTCGTAAACGCTTATTCGGTAAACGGCCCCTAAGTTTTAAGGATATGTATATGTATTTTTAATCGATATAATCTTAATTAGTGAAAGGTTTTACAATAATAATTTATGTCATCTAATTCTAAGGTAATCTATAAGCTCTTGATTTATAGAACAATAAGTGATTTAATGATCAATTATTAAATTGATGTTATCCTTTACATTAGATATTAGTTTTTCAATAACTATATCCAGCTACTTAGCTTTTAACATTTCAACTTACTCAGATGTACCTGTATTTATTGTGCGTATGCATGGACCCAGTTGATATCTACATATTTGTTTTATAATGTACATATTTGATATGATAAATACAGGTATATAGATACATATGTGTAATACATGAATCATACTGATTTTTGGATATCTTAAGGAATCAAGGAGTTGGGTTTGTATTTATACGTACATATTTGTGTGTGTATAATAAAAAAAAATACTTATTTTACGTTTACCACGATTCATCGTGAAACCAAAATCTTATTATAAAGTTTAGGTTTATCTGTCGTTTTACCCTTTGTCGCTTTTTACAGGTTGTGAATTTTCATTTTCGTGACTCTTATATCATACCTTACGCACCCTTTAAAACTGTGAGCAGTTGTTTCCAAAGCTAAATTGCAGCATTTCTCTAAGATTAAGTCCTAGAATTTCATTATCATTCTTTTTATGTAATGTTCTTATTAACATTGTCTAACAGCTGACAGATAAATTAAAAGTCCGTTTGGTTTGACATAATATTTTCGAGATATTTGGATTTCGTGGAAGAATTTTGAATGTTTAGTGTGTTTGATTTGTAAGATTCTGAGTGAAAGTAAAATCTATTTCTTTTATAAATCTTGTTTCGTCGGTAGGATTTATAATAAAATATCAAGTTTTAGTAAATTTTTGTTTGTTCGGGTAAATTAACTTTTTCTTATTGATTATCACAAAAATACACATTAATCGTCAACAGAGATGGATGATGGTCGCTTTGCTTCCATAGAATCGAGAAGACGAGACGTGGTGGCGATGGAGAGATTAAGGGGCTGTTTACCCAAATGCTTACCCGGTGAGTGCTTACCTATAGGAGTCAACACTATAATTTACCTTGATACATAAGATTTTAGTACATCAAAACGTATCGAATGCAACAATTTATCGGGTAAACACTTACCTGGGTAAGAGTCATCATCTACACTTACCGGGTAAGATTCTACATCCTTCTCATCGCTCTTACTGGTAAGATTCTTGGCCCTTGTCATGTTCATCCGAAGAGGAAATTTATCCGGTAAGCGTTTAGTAAACAACCCCCAAGACATATTTGTTGAAAGAGGAGTATACATGCGATGGAAATGATAAGAATCCATAAGATTTGGATTTGGATTTGAATTTGAATTTGAAACTGAAACGAAAACCATCATTCGGTTGTGAGATTTCAGATTTTAAACTTTCTTTAAACAAAAGACACGAGTGGAATGGAATTCAATTCTAGATCTCACAAACCAAACATTGTACCCTAATTAGAAACACCTCAAGCAAGAGATCCCCTTTCTCGTCCTTTTCCTGGCGACTCGAATGGCCACCTTTATCTCATATTTGACTAATCCCGCCCCTGTAGCAACACCATAACTTCATGACCAAATCGACCCAACTTTGAGAGAACGCCCTCCGAGGACCCTCTAGCTGCAAAACCATCGTCTTCTCTCTACATATATGTGTGTGTGAACACCTGCAACGTGTGTCAAAAATATCAAGGTTGTGTGTATACAAAATTTGGCATGTGTAAGACCACCATCGCATATCTCGTTTTGTTGTATTAAGATGAAAAATAAAGACCACAATAGAAAACACAAAGAACCTGAGTTTGTTCTTTTTCTCTATGATTGTTGTATTTTTAGAGTTCTTTGAGGTTTGTTTCAATGGTATGTGCGTGTGCAACATGAAAGGAAGTCATTGATTCATCGGTTTTAATTTGTTGACGGATTTTAAAACACCCAAATCTGGTGGTGTGTGAAAAGGGGGAGAAGAAACGGACGTCAAAAATGTTGGTCGACTATTAAAAAAATGACATATCCAAGGAAGGAAGCCGGAGTTGTAAAAGGACAGGAGAAGGGGATGAACAAGTGACAGAAACCCACAAACTCACGATGAGAAGTAGTTATCACGGTGTTCTTCAGTTTTTCATTTTTTGTGGTTTTTCCTCGAGCCTTATATATAGGGTCAAGTTCAAATGAGAAGTTGGTCAATTTACGAGAAGTTCCAAGATCATATATGATTGTACATGATACGAAAGCTTTATCATATATAATTGAACACATCCAAAAGGAAAGCGGGCGACTTGGTGAACGTGACAAAGGTCGTGGGGGAAGGTCACCCACTATTGCCGGTACATGCAGTATGTGTTTAATCATATACATGATTAAGCGTGCGGACCACATATAATCATATATGATCTTGGAACTCTCGTCTTCTCGCAAATTGACTGACTTTCTCATTTGAAACTAACCACAAATACATTTCAAATGGATCTAAGTGCAAAAGTTTCTTACATTTGCAAATCATTGTTGCAAGTGTTGGTTTGACCTGACAACAGAAGAATAGTAATGTGATTCCATCTCCTTAAGGCTAGCAGCAGCATCTTCACCAATGCTACCCAATATCCTATCCGTCTTCTCAGCCTGCTTGTTTAGCTCCTCGCTTCTCTGCTCTACATGGTCATTCAAAGACGCGAATCCTGAAAATATAGCCGTCTGCTTTAACTCCGATACTAATTTCAACAAAGAATCAGCTGCTTGTACCTGTTGGTTATGAACTAGTACATCAGCTTCATAAGTTATCTTGGCTAGCCTAGTTCTAATCAAACTATCGGAAAGATCGATAGTAACGAAATATATTGACGCTAAGGGGACGTTTACCCACAAAAAAAGTCATGATGGCCGTACCATTCTTGCTGCCCGCACCTCCATCATGAAAGCTTCTTGTGAGTTTCTTACAGGAGGATCATTAACCTACAAGATAAGTAAGTTAACAAAGCAGAGGCGGACCCAAGAAGTTTTTTAGATGGTGGCACAATTTGACTATAAAAATAAATTTGTAGAAATATTTCACAATATTAGTATAGATTGGTTGGTTGGTTCCTTGTCCTTGCACAGAAGGAACCCATGTTCAAATCTTGGCAATTAATGTTTTTTAAACATGAGATATAAAAAAGACACCAAAATTTAAGCTAAAAACTAAGAAATTTGACAAAAGTGGGACTCAAAGCCGGGGGTTTTGTACAAAGTGAGCAACATTTACCAACTTTGCCATTAAAGATTTGCGCCAAGCTTTCAGTTTTAAAAACTATATGGTGGCACCCAACAACACAATACAGTGGTACCCTTCAAAAATGTATTTTTTTCCCTTAAGACAGAACCATGAAGTGGTTGCCCATGCCACCATATGATGCTATGTAGGTCCGCCCCCGTAACAATGCCAGGTGGTTGTGAACAAATAATTCAGAAGATGAATTCTCAGGTCAATTATACCCCAGAAAGACATTTTTGGTACTAACATGACAGCAATGCATGTAAATAAAGAAAAATCACTTCAGTAACAGCTTTTGTTGGGAATTATTCCTCCTTAATTAGAACAACAACATATAGAAAGTCAAAAAAGATTAACCTTAAGATTACCACTTATCTCTATAGCTGATGCTATCTAAAACACAAGGAAGAAAGCTGGCGGCTAGTGGTGGTGGTAGCGGTGGTGGTGATAGCGTGATGGAAGAGGGAAGATACATTGAGGTTAGGTCTACAAGTTTAGTTATGAATGTTTAAGGTTACTATAGTTATACTCCAATTTGAAATTAAATTAAGTTTCTAACACAGATGCTAAATTAAGCAAACCAAGCTTGACAATTTGAGGGGCATTGATAATTTATCCAAACTTTGAGGTGGTTTTATCAAATGGGCAAGAAAGGGATCGGTGTTTTCAGCTCCAGTGAGATAATAAATCGATAGAGACAAGTTACTGCACCTGCAGACCTGCTCTCATACAACCTTGGATGAATTTGATGATTGTGATTCCTACTTGATAGAAGAACCGAAACACCCCACCCTAAGGGCTTGAACAAAAGGAAGCATCTATGTTTTAGAAGTAAAGTCATTGATTGCAGGAAAAATTCATCATATAAACCCTTGGAAATTTGGTAGGCATAATGGAATTTGGTGGAATTGGAATCCATTAAAGGAATTTGACTTTGAAAGAATTTGACCACGTGTCTGGTTAGTACGAATTGGAATGGAATCTCCATCTTTGTTTGGGGGGAAGGCGGGTGTGGCGGGTGTGGCAGTTGTGACCCCACCCCCACCACCACCATGCCACTATTGTTGTCGTCATAGCTACCACGGTACCACCCACCCCCCACACCCCCAACCACCATAC